ATGGCCTGGAAGGAATCTGTTTACTTCTGTTTTCCAGAAGACAAGCTTGAGAAACCAGAGAAGCCTGTAAATGGAGAAGACAAAGGTGACTCAGGTGTAGATACCCAAAATAGCGAAGGGAATGCAGATGAAGAAGATCCACTTGGACCCAACTGCTACTATGACAAAACCAAATCCTTCTTTGATAACATCTCCTGTGATGACAATAGGTACAGTTTATGAGGGAAAGCTTGTTAGTGTACTTAATGTGTCTGTGTTGGCACCACTCATTACAATAAAGTCACCAAAGGCTACATATATACAAAGTCAAAGACAAGATGAAATGGGAATATGGAGTACTTCTGACTGTATATGCTACAGAATCTCCTTTTCCAGTTTAGGTTTTTTGCTTTGCTATGCGATTAGCACCTTAGTTAAGTCAATTATTATTTTGCTTTTATAGTGGTTTCTAAGTAGATTACATAACTTAGCAAGTAGTATTGTTTGAATGGGAAGATAACATTACAGGAAGAAAGAAGCTTATCATTGCTGTGGGCTTTTTTATTATGCATGTTGATGTGGATTGCTGACTGAGTTTGAAGAATGAGGGGTGAGAGGGAAGGTTGGGTGTATTTTACTAACAGCTAGATAAGGTTAATGCATGCAACTATAAACTCTTACTTTCTTGTTCTCTGTTCTAAATTGCAAATGGCTCTTTTTTAATACATCATGTGTGCAGAGGTTACAGACCTTGCTATTCTCTACAGTGTATTCTCTACAGTCTTAGAGTGTTTTTGATTTATAACCAATATTGTAACACACCTCTTCTTACTGAGTGAAATGAGTTGTGGCAGACATCTAGGTTTTGCAGAAGCATAGTTTGTAACAAATGATGATGATGTATCATTTTTTATTTCACTGCCTTTGTGGTGATTCTAACAAAACAGGGCAGCCTTCATTCTAAAGTGTTTTAAAAACAGAACAATCTTTGTTCCTATGTATGTGACAGGGAACGTCGACCAACCTGGGCTGAGGAAAGAAGATTGAATGCAGAGACCTTTGGAATACCACTGCGTCCTAATCGTGGCCGGGGAGGGTTCCGAGGCAGAGGGGGGATTGGTTTCCGAGGTGGAAGAGGACGAGGAGGTGGAAGAGGTGGTTTCACTACTCCCCGTGGATTTCGTGGTGGTTTCAGAGGAGGTCGTGGAGGCAGGGAGTTTGCTGACTTTGAATATAGGGTAAAATATATTTAATCTTACTCTAACTTGATCAGCTGTGTTTGGAAACTAGTAGTATAACTTTTGCTGCTTTTAGATTTGATATTGAACTAGAAGTTCTTGAATAGTGTTGTGCAGATAGACTAGTATTGTGCAGATAGACTCAGCTACTTAATAGAAAGTCTGTTGATTCTTGTTACTTACCATTGTTTGGCTGTCAACAGCAACCAAAAGCTGCCTTTAATCCGATGTCCTAAATATGTGTTCTGTAGCTGGATTTGAAGAAAAATATGAGAGATCTACAGATCTAATGTGAGAGAAGAATTAGAAGAATTGCAAGTGTTTTTCTAGTCAATACTGAAAAACACAGAGAAGAAACTTAACTTGTAGTGTGCAAGGAAGTTCTTTGACTTCTTTGTGAATGAGCTGGCACAGCGCCTATGTACTTGTAATATACTACATAGCCCTTAAAATAGAATAATTGAATTTAAGTGTACAGATGACCTTTTGCAAAAGACAGGTCAAATGTATTTGACATATGTAAGTTTGTTACACAGTTTGTAATTATATTGTAGCTCAGTAGCTACTGGGAAAGCTGAGGCAAGATTGACTTTTTTTCAGCCACTCAGAGCAAAAAGGAACTGTGGGAGATAAAGCAAAATCTTGCAGAAGAGATCACTTCCCATCCCATAGATAATACTTATTTTCACCTTTTAGAAAATATTTTATTACTTTAAGTAAATATGAAGAGGGTTAAAGTTCCTTAAAGCATTATGCGCAGGTTGCCATAGGAGTCTGTTAACCAAAGTAACCTGATGCACAAATATGTTTTCATCATCATGTAATCATATAAATAGTAATTTGGTCTGCAGAAGCTGTGGTGGCTGAATTCACTGTTTCTCTTTTAGAGTATACTTAGGCAGTTTACTTTTGCAAAACTATCAAGGCATGTGCTTTCCTCTTTCCTGTTGAAGATCTTAACTCCTCTTCTTATCAGCCATTCCAAGGAAGAAGTTGGATGCCACCCTCTGCTAAAGCAGAGTAAAGCAGTGTGTTCTGTGCTAATGGTGTCTTCGCTGCACTTTTTCTTAAAACAACCCCAAATCCTCCTCTTATCAGTGCTAATGGATCAGACAGATTATATGAATTATGAGAGCTTGGTCACTTACAAAAGTAAAATCTTTTCATAATTTCATTGCAAGTTATTTTTCTAGACCTCATCTTCAACTTGAATGCTACCCTATGAAGGAGCAGAAATGATGTGGGCACACTGTTTAAAATCAGTAACAAATATAATTAACTGAACTAAAGCAAGCAAGTGTAGACTTTTACAGTTCTGACTCTGACAGAACTTTTTCTGGTAGCTTATCTTGTGAGCAGTAAGAATTTTTACAGCGCAAAATCATTGCGTTCTGATTGAAGGTTCAATTTTTTTTTTTAAAGCCTTTTCATAACTGAAGATGTCTGTCCCTCAGCCATTCGTTCCTCAAATTGCAAGAATTAGCCCTGTGATTTAAAGAAGTTTAGTAGCTGAGCATGAACTGAAATGAGGAGCTGAAGATCATAAATAGGTTTTTGTGAATGAACGTTTCACAGTTGTCTGGATAAGTAGGAGGTGGCATGCAGGCAGAGGATCTGTGCTACAACTTCAGTCGGTGTGCTGTCTCGGTGTTTGCCAGTATTTTGACCAGCTGCTAATGTGGAGATTGGAGAAATCTCCGTTCTGATTTCAGAAAATCAAAAGTAGCCATTGGAGCATATCTCCTCCCAGCGCTGTTCCCCAAATTAATCTGTCATTTTTTGTTTTGCAAAATTAATTGTAACATTCTACTGTTGTTCCCTCTAGAAAGACAACAAAGTTGCTGCATAGTCTACAGGAAAGCTGAAACTGCGTGAACGTCTAGATCTTCTTGATCCAGAGAATTAGTTTCAATCTCTGCAAAGAATGAAGTTAATTTGCTGTATACTTGTCACCAGCACTGGGATTTAACTATTTAATTTCAAAGGGGTGTAATGCAGTTACTTTTTGAAAAATGGCCATCTTTGAAAACAGTGAGCATTAAATATATTTGAAACAGAAGGATAAGTAATTTCTTATGTATAGTTAATTATAAAGCAGTACTTCGATGGAGTTTAAGTATTTTTTCATCACTGAAAGGATTTTTCTTATTACTAAACTGTATTTGATAATTGCTTCAAGTTGTAAGGACAATTGTATGCAGAAGGCCGTCGATACTGTGAGTGTTTTGATCCACTGAAGGTTGTTTTTTGGAAATCCTGTAATATCCCTTTTGAGATGGTTGTACTTTATCAACTAGGGTGCTGGACAGTAGAAAACTTGCTTTGTCAGTCAGATATGTACACACAGTAAATACTGTTTCTTAGGCAAAGGAAACTTTTTATATAGTTGTAAAATTCCATTATATCCCATTGCCAAAGAAACATTACAAACTTTGTATAGCTGTATAAAAAGCAACTAATTTTTTAAAGAATAAACATTTTTAAGTCGGCAAACATACTGTGTTATTGCAGGAGTTGATACGCTGAAGAACACTGAATTAGTTGTGGTTTTTTCTTTAGCAGCTTTTTGGGCTTAAATTTGATTTTATATTTGGAGTATAATGAAGATTTGGAATGTTCTTCCATTACACAAAACTGGATACACTCTTCGCTTCTCTTGCAAGCAATTGATTTTGTAGTTTCTGGCATATCACAGGATTTGACCAAATGAAAGAGATATTTTTCAAATGAGGACAAAATAAATTTCGTATGTCCAAATTTTCAATTAATTTTACTTAGTGATAAATATTAACTTCTTTTTTTTAAGAATGGACCAGGCACATGAGTTAAAGCGATTCTTCTGGAATGCCTGGGCCAGAAGTATGTCTGCATTTGTCAGTTCTTGAAGCGTTAACTTTGTTGTAATACCCGTAGACATAAGCAATTGAGGAATTAGTGTTTGGAGTTGTTTGCGTTTGATAGGCCATAGTTTGGAGAAGATGAGAACCTGGTTCTAAGACATTGCATCCGCAAATGACATAGTATGGACTTTCTGCCAATTCTGATGCCTAGTTCCACTTTGTGGATACGCTGAAATAGAGACCCGGTCATTTGTGTCTGTATATGTATGTGAAGGCCACAGGAATAAAGGGATCCAAAGATTAAACGTTTTGATCTAATTTACTGATTTTTTTTTTTAACTTCAAAGTACTCAGTGGTGATAAAGATGCAGAAAACTGCACTGTTGGAAAGTTGGAATATTTAAAGTGGGTGATAGAATCTTAATTTTATAACTTTTGTATAGCACTCTGAGGAACTATTTTGTAATTGGTTTCCTTATTAAGGTCAAGTATTTGGCAGCCGTAGAAGTTAGATAACGTTGTTAGTAACGTTTTTGCATGTGAACAGCACTGCCTGGTGGGCGCCGCCGTGGCTGGCTCCGAGCAGCTGCCGCGCTGTGGGAGCGCGGGGCCGCCGCACGGCTGCGGGCGGGAAGCGGCCGTACGGGCGGCTGCGGGACGGGGGCTCTGTGCGCAGGGAGCGGGCAGCGCGGCCACCGGCGGGCTACTTTGTTTCATGGAAGCGAGGGGTTTTTATTTTCAACCGGAATAAACTCTTCAATACAACGAGGCTGTGGGGAGTTATTTCGTGCCCTCGCAGCCGCACGGGGCACGGCGGGATCGGCGGCGTTCGCTCGAGCGGGAACCGGGCGCGAGGAGGGAGGGGCGCGAGAGGGGGGGGGAGGGGGGAGCGGCGAGCTGTTCCCTCAGCGCAGGCGCAAGGGCGGCGCTTCCCTCAGCGCAGGCGCGGGGCGGCGGCGGCGGAATGTCGGTGGTGTTCGTGCCGGAGCGGCTGCGCGGCAAGGCGGAGGTGAACCAGGAGACGCTGCAGCGGGTGAGCTGGCGGCGGGGTCCCGGGGTGGCGGCAGGGGACAGCCCGGCACGGCTCAGGCAGCGCCGGCTCCGCCCGGGCCCGCCGCCGCCCTCGCAACCCCCCTCAGCGGCGGCGCGGGAGGCGGGGCCGAAGCGGGCGGTGACGGCGGTGTCTGCCGTAGCTGCTGGAGGAGAACGACCAGCTGATCCGCTGCATCGTGGAGTACCAGAGCAAGGGCCGCGCCACCGACTGCGTGCAGTAAGTGCAGGCGGGCGGCCCCGAGGGGCTCGGAGGGGGGGGGGGGCGGCCTCGGCTCGGCCCGGTCCTGCGCAGACTGCTTAGGGAACGCGAGCGGGTTACGGAAGTGACGGCTTCAGTCTGCGGCATCTGCTCGAGAAAAACAGGCAGTCGCTCACTTCCCCAAAAATGTTTTTCTTTCCTTGATAGGTACCAGCATATCCTGCACAGAAACCTCATTTATTTAGCCACAATTGCAGATGCGACGCCACCCAGCGCGCAGAAGACTACAGAGTGACTGCACGTACCCGGCTGCAGGCTGCCCTGCTTTACAGAGAAAGGCTTTAGTTTACATTGCCACTGTGGGAGGGAGAAAGTGTAGTCACACAAGGCAGGTAAAGAGCCATCCCACTATGTTAAAATGTGAATTCTAATATTGGAATAGCTTCTTTCTTCCTATTAAGTAGAACTTAGGGGAGAGGATTACCAAGCTTTCAGCTCTGGAAAACCTCAGTGTTGTGTGTTTCTGAAAATAGCCCAGTTGTCAGGACACCACCACTGCTGCCTTGGGAAGATTGTGGCAGCCTTTGTGAGGCTTAGTGAGTTTCATGACTGAGATTGTGTAACAGGAGGACACCAGTGAGCAGGTGGGAAAGTAGAAATGATGAGACAGATGTTGCACAGACTATTGTGTACACTGTATCATAAAAATTGTGCTAATAAATTGAAGATGTGCTTTGTAAAGCAATAGTTTCTGGATTAATGTAACAAGTTAACAAAGGAACACCTTGGCGTTTACTGCAAAAGGACTTGAATTTCAGAATTCTAGGAAGGAGCTTTTAAGTTATGCAACTGTCAAGTTCACTAAGAGGGCTGATGTTAACCCCTCTCGCACCAAAAGTTTCATTTTTGCTTGGAATGTTCTGCCCTACAGATTCTGTAAACAAGTAACTTCTTGCATTATCAGCAAGGCCTCACGTGCACCTTGGGTAATTGTCAGCCTTTCATCTGTCTGCCTCTATAC